TCTGTGTGCGCCCTTCGCCTCTGGTCGGATTCCTCTGTGGTTGGTACAAAGAGGGTGTTGAGAGTGACGGTGGATCCCCCCACCTCCCCAGCCTAAAAAAGATATCAAGGCCAGACGTGAGGGCTCTGAACAGAGAGGCCTCCTACAAACCTGCCTCCAAAATGAGATGGGCGGCGAGCGCTGGGGAGCCCAACGCAGATAATATCAGCTCCCGAGGCTGGCAAGGGAAAAGTCACTTCAGAGGGAGAAAGCCGGTACGTTCAGAGGAATCAGCACTGGGCCAGAGAATGCACAGGATTTTTCCCCGCAGAGAAGGAGTCAGGCGTAGTCAGAACCCTGCGGGGCGTGACTAACTGCCCCAATATTCCTGCCACCGGGGCCCTCTGGGTAAGGGCTCCACAATTATGGGAGAGCCAGCAGGAGAAGCGACAAACCCGCCTTTCATTTGGCCGGCAAATCAATCTGGCTTCTTACCTCCCCGGGGACAATATTGCATTTCCCCTGGAAAAACAAAAGCCAGAGATCTCCGAAGGGGGATCAGTTTCTGCCCCTGTTTCCCTGGTGAAGAGCTTGCAACATCTCAGGGGCAGCCAAGCAGGTCTGGTTCCAGTGGTAGAGTTTCTAGTCTGGCCAATGTACGGGGCTGTCTCCTTACGGGAGGAGTATGTCTTGGGGACCACACCACGCTTGGGGCATGGGCCCGGCCTCCCTGCAGGCGCCACCAGCCCTGACTCGGGGACTGACAGCCCGTTCTCAAGGCGCAGATGTGAACCCATTGTTCCCTGGTCCTCAGAGTTGAGTTTGGGGCCAGTGAGTTGTGAGTGACCTCTGACCACGGAGACGGGGCTTTTCATGACATTTTGCTGGATCAGGTCTCTGGCAGCCAGAGACTTTAAACCTCCTAAGCTCCGCCCTTCTCCCTGCCCCTACACCTGAGGTTCAGAAATCAGAACTGTCAACCTTGAAGTGAACACATTTCTCTGAAATTATTAACCCCAGAACTATCCTTGCTGACTTTCTCCCAGCCTAGGGGAGGCAGTCCGAGGGTCACCTGGAGCTTTGCAGAGGCCCCGGGAAATCTGGCAGCGCTTAACAGCAAGCCAGGGTCACTAGAGACCAGGCCCGTCGCGCTTCTCCTGCCCCCCGCCCCCAACCCCACCCCAAGGAGCCCGTCTCCCTCTATTCGTCCTCCGTACATACACACAGCCGCCTGGATGCACCCATACAACAGCCTCAAGACAGCCTCCTGCTCTCGAGACCCCAGGGTCTCAGGGAAAGTCAGGCCCAAACTGGAAACTCCTTCTTTTTGTTTTTCATCACTGTGATGCTCCGAGGGAAATGCTTTCTGCTCGGGGGAGCACAGCACGTGGGGAGTGCGTATCCCCAACAGGTAGCACCACTGAGATAGAAGAAAACACACAAACTCTTACCCCCAATTCCAGCACATGCCAGTTTGCCCTCATACCACCACAAAGGCAGCTCAAGAGCTGCCCCACAGCCCCGAAGACCCTCTCCCTTTCGGGGAAGGGCAGGGTTCTGCCTGCCGAGGGAACACCATCAGAGAACAGGACCAAGGCGCACGGGGGCTGCCGGGCTCTGGGGCGGGCGCTGCGCGCTTACCTGGGAGAAGTTGAGCCCATTGAGCGGATGACACTGCTCCTCCACGCGCTCCACGGCCCCGGTGCTCTTCTTCATCTTCTCGGCCCGCTGGGCCAGGTAGAGGTCAAGCACAGGCACGCCCCGGGAGCGCACGTCGGTCTCCGTGAGCGAGTTCACCATGAGCATCACCCACACCGGCCTCTTGCGCTCCCAGTTGCCCGCGATGGCGTTGAATAGATAGTCGGCGTAGAGCCCCTTGCCCCGCTGCGCGGGCGTCATCCACGACGGCATCATCAGCTTCACGTAGTCCAGGTGGCGCTTCAGGCGCCAGTAGAGCTCACGGGGCAGCACGTCCTGCAGGTTCTCCCCGTGTGGCAGCAGCTGGCAGCTGGCCAGCGCCGAGATGGTGTAGGGGTCTGTCAAGTCCAGCTCAAAGTAGACGCGGGCGCTGGCCTGGAAGGCCGCCTTGGAGTTGTCCGGGATGAAGTCCCAGACGCGGGTGTAGGGGACGTGGATGGTGCCAAACAGGTAGGCCGGCGGGTCGCGCCGAATAGTCCACAGGAAGGAGTTCAGGTCCCTCTGCTGCAGGGGGACAGGTAAAGGAAGGCAGTGAGGCTGAAGGCAGCAGAATTAAGCCAAGGTTAGAACAGAGGGGGCAGGTGGAGCTGGGGATGGAAGGCAGAGGGCTACATGGGGCCACGGGAAGAAGCAAGCGCTTTGGAAGCTGAAAGACCCATATCTTAGCTGTACGATCTTAAGCACACTGTTTCACTTCCCACAGACTCAGTTTCCCCATCTGTAAAATGGGAGCTGAAAGCAGCCACCCCAGGGATTGTTGGGAGAATGAAAAGACACAATCTACGTAAATAAGCCCGAAGAACAGTGCCAGGCACAGAGGGAGGAGGCAGTGAAGGAAGCTCTCATTATGACTGGCTCTCACTGTGAGTGCCAAGGACCGCCACACCACCTGAGAATATTCGTGCTTGGCCAAGCCAAACCTTCACCGGTGGTGTTTCATGGGGAGGGTGGCAAGAGGGGGACCAAGAGTCCTGCTCTGGCAAGAAAGGAGGAAGTCATATAACTTTTAAATCCAACCATTAGAAGATACATGCCAAGAGCACTTTGAAAGCAGAACACCTATTAAAAATAGCACACCTATTTAAACAGCTACTTCCCATTCAGCAGGGCGGATACAATTTTCTTTTTGGAGGGCAGGTCTGGGGTGTCAGCTACTCTCCTCCACCAGCTGAAACCACAGATGAGAAAGTGCTTTAAAACCTGCAGGCTAAATAAAGTCTCAAGGCCCTGATTTGGGAGGGAAAGATTTCACAGAATTAGTCCCAAGAAATGTACATGCTTTCTGGGCTCCTCCCCTCCAAAGGTGTACCTGGTCTCCAAGTCCAATTCTCTGCCATCACCTAAGCTCTGAAGAGGGATGTGTGTGTCTGTGTAGAGGTGAAGGAGGGGCAGGAGGACATGGCTCATTTCTCCAGATCCAGTTTAGGTCCAGGGGTTAAGGGGCATGAGAAAGGGACTATCGTTTCTCTCAGGCATTTTCAATCCAGAATACCCCCTGGACTGTCCACTGCCATCCACCGTCTGCAAGCTTTCGGTCAACTCATAAAATTCTTCTGCCTGATTCTAGCACAAATGAGAAGTATCTGTCAGGGAGGGCAAAGGGAACAGTACCTTACTTTACTGACAACCCAAAATTGTAAATCCCAGCATACTGGAGAGAGACGAGCTCTGAGCACCCTGTCTGTCGCGGAGCTCCCTGTTTCTGAGCAAGTCACGACACTGGAGGTGCACCTTGCCCAAGGTCAACTAAGAGCGCAGCCAGTGAGGACCCTACACAAACTTTTCCTGGTCCCTGGCCTCCAATTCAGAGTTATTTTCCATGCGTTAATTTACACTTTGAGGGAGAGAGACTGAGGGCAATCAAGGGATTCCTGAGTTTGGAAGAAAAATGAGGAGAACTAGTAATTACTCAACCCCCCAAGGAAACATTAGGCCAGCATGTCCTGGCACTTCCCTTCCTCTCCTCTGGAATCTTCCTCCTTTTTGTGAAATCGGGGCACTTGGGAGAGTGGGTGCTGGGGCCTGGGCTGGAGAGGGAGAAAGTTTGCCTTAGGTCAAGGGTGGGGACCAGGGGGGAGAGGGAAGCCTGCAAGGGGTCTGAGCGTGTAAGAATGAGAGGAAGGGGCAGAGAAGAGAAGGGCAAGGAATGGTAGAAACAGTCAGAAATGAGAAGAGAGGAACCAGAGGGTAAGGACAGGCTAAAAGTAAGAAAGAGGGGAGTCAAAAAGGGCACAGAGAGGAAAGGTCCAAGCAGGACCGAAAGTCGAGGAGAGCCCGAGAGCGTCAGCGTTTGGAGAAGGAGCTGGAGAAGGAGCGCCCCAACTCGCCTCCCCGGACGGAGCTGGAGCCCCGGCGGCAGAAGCCAGGGAAGGGCGCCCGAGGCTGCGCCCGGCGGGCGGAGGTGGAGCGGGTGGGCCGAGGTGGGTGCGGAAGGTAGGACCCCCCAAACCATCGTCCCCGCAGGGCTGGAGTGGCCGGCCGGGAGAGTGGCCGGGCGGGCGCTCGCTCACCGATCCGGGCGGCCGGCACTGTCCTGCGTCCGGCGGCTGCGGGCGGGCGCGGGCGGTGGCGAGGAGGGCGGCGAGCAACGGCCCCGCCAGGGCGGCGTGCATCCTGCCGGGGCCCGCGGGGCGCGGGGGACCCTTCTGGGCGGCGCCCCTCAGCTGGGCGGGCAGCCCCCGGCTGGGCACGGAGGTTCCTCTGGAGCGCGGCGCTCCAGACACGGGATGCCGGGAGCCCTCTGGGGCGTGGCTGGGTGTCCCTGCCGGACCTGGGGGGTCCCTCTGGGGCGGGGCTCCGTCTGTTTCAAGAGGGGGATCCTCTGGGGCGGGGCCCTTTGGCCGGGACGCGCAGCCGGGTTGGCCGAGCCCCGGGGTTGTGAGAGCGCGCGGGGTTGCCGAGGCGCGCGGAGGTCCCGGAGCTGCGTCGCGGTCCAGGGGCGCGCGGGGTTCTCGGGGTAGTACCGGGACGGCGGTCGCGCGGGGTCGCGGGGTTATGCTGGGGACCCGGGGCGCGCAACGGTCCCAGGGGTGCGCGGCGCTCCAGGGGGCGCGCGGGGGGACAAGTGCGGCGGCGGGCGCGGCGGGGTCGGGGGTCGGGTCTGGGGCGCCCAGTGGCCCCCGAGCGGGGCTCAGAGGGGCGGCGGGCGGCCGCGCGGCCGTTGCCCGGGCTCCGCCATGCTGCTCCGCGGCCGGGAGGGAGGGAGAGAGGAGGGCGGGAGAGCGGCGCGGAGCCGGGCCGAGCGGGGGGCTGGGGCCGCCGGGGCGGGGGGAGGGGAGGACCCGGCGCGGGGGGCGGGGGGCCGGGGCCGCGCCGGGCCGGGCCGCAGGGAGTCGGGGAGAGCTCCGCGCCCGGGCGCGGCGAGGCGGGGTCTGATGGGCATGGCAGGCGCTCGCTCGCTCCTCTCCTGCTCCCTAGCTCGCTCCCTCACACGCGGGCGGAGGGAGGCGAAGCCCGCAGCAGCCACTTCCCAACTTTCCAAACTTCCCAGCGCAACTTTTTCCTCTCCTCCCCTGCCCACGCCTCCTCCTCCCGCTTCCCCTTCCCCTTCCCCTCTCCAGCTCCCCGCGGGCCGCAGCTTCAGCGCGCGGCCGCCAGAGGGCGACCGGGCCGAGGCCCGAAGGGCCAACTTTAATCCGGCTGCGCGTTGGATGCGGACTGGCCCGGCAGCGACAAATGTGGGGAGAAGGACCAGACAGGTCCTGGAGGAGTGAACAGCGAGAGAGGAGAAAGGCAGGCGTGGACAAGCGCTCCCAGACTGGCTGGAAGGCAGCACTCAAAAGAAACCCAGGGAAGCTGGTATTTACAACTTTTTATCAAGTCCCTGTTCCCAACGCCGGCATGCGGTTTAGTAGGTGTTCTGCAGACACTAGGTGCATTGAAACAAAACAACAAAATAATCTTCCTCAGAATTCCTTGAGACTTACCATTTAAATAATCTATTTCTTTGGACCACACAGGATCCTGGTGAGGGGTCCTGGAAGGGCAAGGATTCATATCCCAGTTCCTTAGACCATAAGAATTGAAAGAGCCCTTAAAACCAGCTTCCTTCTGTTCTGGAGAGGCAAGTGAAACTTACAGAAGACCAAGAGGCAAGATCCAAGCTTCTGGACCGTTTCCCGCCAATGGGGAAACTGAGTCATGGGCACCACCGCTTACTTGTGTTGCGAAGAGTTCACTGACTCTTCCTATGCTGATGTTAGAGACTGAAGGATGAACGAGGTAGGATTGTTAGAGCCCACAGCCCACAGAGGCGGGTAGACGGGGACAGACATGCAAAGAGGTGATTCAAATATAGACGATGAGTGCCAGGAGAGACGGAAGCACAGAGAAATGGGAACAGAGAGGAAAGTCTCCTCACACAGCCCTGGGGCCCAGGGAAGACTCCCAGGAGTGACCCTGAAGGATAAGTCAGGGGCAGCTGAGGAAAGGAGCAGCTGCCTGGGCGGAGAGGTGAGAGGGTGCGGGTGCCTGCAGGGTTCTGCTAGCAGGTAGGCGTGGCTGGAGCAGAAACCCAGCAGCAGGAGCTGAAGTTGTGTCTTCTGGACTGGCTGGAGTGTTTGTACTTTATAGGTACTAGGTGATGGGGAATCATTGCAAGATTTGAAGTAGAGGGTGGCTGGAGCCTTTTAGGAGCCCTGGATTGGAGGGGGCAAGCTGGAAGCAGAGACCAGTGGGGAGATGGGCGGTCAGTGGAGAGGTCCCGGACTCCCAGGTCTCCCAACCCTCCCATTCAGGTCTTCAGGCAGCAGATGGAGCAACTGGAGAATGGCCACTGGAGAAGCTGGGCAAGGATGACCAGCTGGGCTGCAGGGGCTGAAAGGCTTCCAGAGCCTGCAACCTGGGTCTTTGAGGGGAACACGGAAGGAAAGGAGAGGATGCCAGAGACTTTCAGGCTGACCCTGAGATTGCCATTTCTGCAGGTCAGAAATAATGAGTGTGCGCAGTTTCATCTGGTTCCACCTGCTGGGTGTCCGCGCCACCTCGACTCTTTGCTGTGCACACTTCTGGTGACAGATGCAGATCAGGCCAGTGGGCCCAGATGGTGCAAGAGGACAGTGCGGCTCCGTGCTTCCGACACACAGCGCTCTGAGAACTGCAGCTGTGACCAAAGAGAAGTCCTTTAAAGAGCCTCCACTCCTCAAGGCTCCAAAACTCCCTACAGAGCCACCACTCCCCATGATGAGGACGAGGTGAGAAGCTTGAGAGGTGGGAGGAGAATTTAACTCCACTGAGAGGGAGTGTAATGGTCTTCACGGGGAACTAGAACATAAGGGAGACAGTGGGTAAGAAAGGACCTGATCAAATTCAAAACGAATCCATATAATTAAAGTGATGGTGCACGTGACTATGTATGATTTTTAAAATGTTCCAGGCCTTTGTTCCTGAAGTTATAAATGTTTCATCGACTAAATTTCACAAGTGCCAGCTATGACTTCCTCCTCCATGGTCCTTTCCTATGGCTGTGTGACCAGTGTCCAAACAGTTAACCTCTCTGTGCCTCTCTTGCTTCATCCAGCTTCCTGTCCTCACTATTTTTCTGAGTCAATGTGTGCAATAATCCTTTAGAATCTCCACCGGTATGGTTACTGATATTGTTAATGAGATGCAAGAACAAACAGGTTTTTCCACTCATGGAAAAAGAGAACCGAAAGCATCTCCACCCAAGAGAACCGAAAGCATCCGTCCACACAAAAACTTGTACACAGATGTTGATAGAAGCACTATTCAGAATAGCTAAAGGGGACAGCCAACCCAAATGTCCAGCAGCTGATGAATGGATATATAAAATGTGGTATATTCATATGATGGAATACTATTTGGCCATGAAAAAATAACGAAGTGCTGATACATTGCCACAATATGGCTCAATCTTGAAAAGATTATGCTAAATAAAAGAAGCCAGTTACAAAAGGACATATATAATATGATTCCATTTATAGGAAATGTCAAGAATAGGCAAACGTAGAGAGGCAGACAGGCGGTCAGTGGTTGCTTAGGGCCAGGAGGCATGGAGAGATGGGGGACCGTGGCTAAAGGGGATTGCATTTTTTGGGTAATAATGAAAATATTCTAAAATTGATTGTGGTGATGGTTGCACAACTCTGTGACTATACTAAAAAAAACATTAAATTGTATAGTTTAAATGGATGAATTGTATGGTATGTGAATTATATTTCCATAAAGTTGTTACCCCAAAAAAAGAACAAACATGTTTGAGGCCCCTGGAGAGGGTGCTCCCCAAGAACAAGGGTTTCTGTGTTTTCAAAGAATTTTTTCTCCCACCTAGTATTATATCGAGAGCAGCCCCGGACGAGCAGTCTTAAAGTCCTGGAGATTCCCCGTGCTGCTGCTAACAGCTTCTGAGCGGCTTCTGGTAGTTCAGCTGTCCTGGCTGGACCTCAGTTGCCCTGTCTTCAGATGAACAGCTCAGGGAGCAGATACCCTTAAGGTCTTCTGCCCTCAACACTACAGTCCAGAGTTCCATGGCCTCCACCTGCCCAGGGGCCTGTAGGCAGGATGGGAAGGGGCACAGGGCTCAGGAGGCAGGCGGTGGACTCAGATGCCTGTCTTCTCTCCCGGATCACATCCGGCCCACTTTCCTTTTACTGCATTTTAATTAGGTTGTTCAATCAGACGGGTACCAGGAATCTGTAGGCCGTAACAGCCGGGACAGGAACAGAAGCCTTGTTGCGGAACTAAACCAACAAAGTCTGCCTCTTGGGCAGATCCAGGAGCCCTGGTTCTGCCGAAGGGCATCTCTCAGGCAGGGAGATGAGGGGCTCCCCTGTTATGCTGGACCAAAGGAGAAGCTTTGCTCTGGGCCTGAAGGCTGCCTTCTCGACCGGCCATAGCCTGGGCTGTGGGCCACACTGGTATTTTCCAGTGGACCTGGCCTGGCCTGACTCCCAGCTTCCACTCCTATCCCAGATGTGCCGACCTCCCACCCACGCCCAGGCTCTGTCTCCCACCCCCGCTCCCCTGGTCTTAGTGGGTTAGAAGTTAATCCTTGATGGTTGAAGGTCATGATATCCTTGGGGGGTGGGAAAGAAGGGAAGAGGATTCTAGGACCATGCAGAAGTTAGTAGTGCTTAACACAGTCTAGAGTGATGGAGAGAACCAGAAAAAAAGGCATATGCTGAGATGATTCCTAAAAGAACATTCCCTTACAAGAGTGGGGAAACACACACACCATCATAGAAGTACAACACAGGATTAGCCTTGCCATACAAGATGGTATTTGTTAAAAACAGAAAGTTCTACTAGATCCAGCCCAATGGGGGAGGAGGACACAGAGGAATCAGCCCAGGAGTCTGTCCTCAGGGAGCTTGCCACCCAGAGACTGAGACAGAGGTACCCACAAACAGGGTGCTTTGGGAAACAGATGGGGGGTGGGGGAGAGCAGCAACCTTAGGAGGGAAGAAAGTGGGGCTTAGGAGAGAGGAGGTCAGCAAAGGTCTTTGCCAAGAAGGTGACGTTTGAGTTGGTCTCTAGGGAGGAGCAGGACTTGGACAGGGAGTGTGAGGAAAGGAAGGTCGCTTCAGACAGTGGGAACAGTGTGTGCAAAGGCAGGGAGCTGTGTTTGGCCTACTGGGAGCTCTGTAAACAATGATGGGGGAGCTAGAACATGAGAGCGATTGGGGAAGATCAGAAATAAGACTGCACCGAGAAGGGCCATGCATGACCCTTAGAAAGCCCTTCATCTTGCCCTTCAGAGGATATAATCGTCTTAGCTTGCTCTCCATAAATGGTGCTGATGGAGGGTGGCTGGCATATCAGTTTCCAGACGAGGTGTGTTCACAGCCTGATGTGTGCAGCCATCAGTGATAGAACAGTGATATGCATTGACTCTGCCAACTCACCAATACTTATGGGGCCCCATGTGTATTGTAGTGTCTAGGCCTGAAGGAATACAGTCCTGACCTCTGCCTACTTGCAGTTATTGAACCATATTCAGGTGACTAGTTAAAATGCATTTCAGTGCCAGGTGAATCACGCAGTATCATAAAAGTCCTGGAGAAGCCAGTGAGAGCTGGACAAGGGCATTAATCCGGGAGGAGTGGGATTTGAATTTGGCTGTGCAGGAAAGTAGGATTTAAATAGGTGGAAAGAGACTTGCTTGCAATCCAGTGAAGGGGAATGATGAAAGCCAAGGGGTAGAGGTGGGTCAGGACCTAGGAAATTCTGACTGAAGAAGAGGGGTGATATTAAGAATGGGCTGGAGTGAGGCGAGGTGGCACGGACCAGGTGTTGGCAAGTGAAGGAGGAATGGGAACTGGGGATTATCTTAGACCAATTCGGTGCCAGACCCTTCAGCTAAAGGATCTCAGCAACACTGTGGGACATATATTTTTACCCCCATTTTATTTATTTGTTTGTTTGGTCGGTTGTGCCCAGTCTTAGTTGCAGCAGGCGGACCCCTTAGTTGCGGCTCGCAGGCTCCTTAGTTGCGGCATGCACGTGGGATCTAGTTCCCTGACCAGGGATCAAACCCGGGCCCCCTACATTGGGAGCCCGGAGTCTTCTCCACTGCGCCACCAGGGACGTCCCTTTACCCCCATTTTAAAAATGAGGCAACTGAGTCTCAGAGGGGACACACGGCACACTCAGACTACACAGCTGATACTTAGAAGGCCTGGGTTGTCTAGTTCTTCCTACTAAATCACTTGGTTCCTTTAAGACACCAGTGGGAAGGTGGCGCAGGTTGTATGGGCCAGACTGGGTGCGTCCTGGGAACACACACACGCAACCACTGGGGGACACATTCACACCGCACATGGCGCATCCTGGGCTGTCTCTCCCAGTCTAATTAGGACAGTGGGACGTTTGTCATTTAGGGGACTTTTGCCTTTCACTTTAGCCCAAGCTGTGTGAGGCTCTGTTCCTCCATTTAGGCGTTAGTAGAAGTACGGAAAGGGAAAAAAGAAATGTGATGCTTGAAACAAAATACCCCATCGAGCTGACCACTAAATAGCATTTAGACCCCAAGTATACACACAGCTGCTTTATGTAATGAAGGCTGTGGACCATGTTCCTGGATATAAAATAACAAACCACATATAACGTTTTTCATGGCTGTGTAATTAGCACGGATCTGTGAGTGTGTGAGCCGAGCAGGCTGAGGGAAGGGGGGCTCGGACCTCTAGCACAGCGAGCTGGAGGGAAGAGCATGTGCTATTGGGCCAGGAAGATGGGAGTTTGAACCCTTGCTCCCCACTTGGTAGCCCTAAGATCTTGGGCAACTTATTAAAACTCTGAACTTTCAATTTCATATCTGTCAATAGGAGTAAAAGTATATGCCTTATAACAAATGGCTTGGCCCTTCCTGCCCCCACAGGAACATTTGGCAAGACATTTTTGGTTATCATAATTGGGAATGTGCTACTGGCATAACACCTAAGGGCCCACTGGGCAGAGGCCGGGATGCTGTTATGACACACAGAACGGTTCCTACAACAAAGAATGGTCGTACCTAAAATACCAGTCGTACTGAGATTGAGAAATCCTGTCCTACAGAGTTGCTGTTTCGAGGCTATAATCATTACTAACTTTTATTGAGCATTTGCTGTGTGCTCAGCACTGTTCTATCACTTTATTTAAATGTGCTGCCTCTTACCTGTTCATAGTAAATCGATGAGGGAGGTACTATCGTTAACCTCACTTTACAGATCAGGAAACTGAGGCCCCAAACTTGCCCAAAGTCCCCCAGCCAGTCAGTGGTGGAGCCAGGTCTGAACCCAGAGGGTGTCACAAGCTGAACAGAACTCATGTGACTGCTTCAGTGCCTGGCACGTGGCAGTGATGGTAAAGTGGGTGAGAGGACTCGCTCATTTGTTAATGTGGCACGTATGTTTTGAGAGTCGAATTGATGCTAAAGAATTGGTGAACAAATAGGCAGGGATCTGTCCACACAGGCCTTACTTTCTAGTTCATGAAGAAAAATAATAAAGAGGTAACCCAGACCAGTGGTAGAGAGGGTCTGGTGGATGCTAAAGAGTCTGCCAGGAGAGGATCTGGGGGAAGAGCATTCCCAGCAGAGGGACTAGCCTCGGCAAAGCCTGGAGGGAGGGACCACCTTGGTGTGTTCAGGAAACAAGAGAAAATTCCAGCAAAGTCTGCCTCTTAGGGCACAGGGGGGAAATTCTAAGAGATTGCATTGGGGAGATGGGAGGGGCCAGGTGAAGTAAGGGTTTGAAGGTCAAAGTGAGGAATGGACTTCCAGCTTTACTGAGAAGCCAAAGGAGGGTTTTAAAGAAAAGTAACACAATTTGATTTACATTTTTAAAAGCTGGTGCAGACTTTGGTGTGGAGGTTGGCGAGCTGGAAAGTGAGGATTTCGAGGAGCCCAGTAAGGGCACTAGGGCAGTAATCGGGGTGAGGATGGCGGTGACTCCATCCGGGGTGCTTGTAGTGAAACTGGAGGAAAGTGAGCAGATTTGGGCGGAGGACAGAGAGGGAGGAGAGGAGGTGGACATGGCCAGTTCAGGCAACTCTTTCTCGGGTTACTGTGGGAAAGAAATAGAGTGGTGTGAGAACACGGGTCAGTGGAGAGACTTAATATTACGGTCATACAGTGTCTGTATGCCGATGTGAAGGATCCGGCAGAGAGAAAGGAGTTTATGATCCCAGAGCGAGAGGAGCTCTGTGGAGACGCCCTTGAGAAGTACTAGAGAAAGCAAGAGGCTTGCGATCTAGAGACGATGCGGGGGGTCATCCTCGTTAGGACAGTTTAATCTGTTATTACAGGAGCTCGGGCAGCAAGTATGTGAATGTTGTAAATAGTTGAGAAAGCTGTTCTGAAATACTTATTTCTACTTTCTCAGAGAGAAACACCAGCGCCCTGACCTGGGCCACTGGTCAGCCCCAGCCCTGACCACCAGTCCAGACGGAGCTCTGGCCCATAGACTGGATATCTATTCCACACAACCATCTCCCTTTGTTCATAAGGGAGACCTTGGGAATGACCATGGATGACTCAATGTAACCCATCTTAACAGCTGAAAAGGCAACCTGAAGCAAAGTTCTGCAGCACCAGGACAGATCAAAAGATGAGGGCTGCCTTCAAGACAGTATCCAGAAGGGGAGTCCCCAGGACCTGTGAGAGGAGACG